TTTCATGTGTGTGTTTTTAGAATTGGTGAATGAATGAACCTCACTTTTTTAATACCTGAGCTTCTCAAAATCATGAATCACTGAAGCATTGTCATCAGAAGTAGGCTTAAAAATCTGACAATGACTTGATCATAGGTAAGATGTAGAACTTTTGTCTCTGAGAAATGATCAAACACGGAAACACCCAGGAGCACAAGGCAAAACACCCTCCTAGAAGCTGATGGGGTGGGAAGAGGCCCAGCCCAGGGCAGGCAGCATGCCTTCTGTGTGGCTCACCTGTCTTTTCCCCCTTTCACATGACACCAGATAAGCCAGCGTTGGCACTGAAGTCCAGAGCCTGGCCCTGGGGAGCTTTGGTTCCCTATCTCACCATGTCCTCAGTGCTCATGCTTCATTCTGGTACCCCAGAGTCCAGTCTGCCAAGTGAGTGATGGGGGCTGGGGGTGAGGGACAAAGGCAAAGTCTCCAAAGCTCAGCTTCCTTTTCTAAGTTCTGCTGGCCAGAAGCACATTTATTTCTTCACTTTAGAGAGGAATCTGGCACCACCCTTGATTTTGTATACCTCACTGCTGTGACCATCTTCATCTGTAAAATGGGGCATACAATAGCACCCATCTCCTCGGGCAGTGGTTCTCCAAGTGGGTCCCCACTGGTAGCATCTGTATCCCTTGGGAACTTGTTAGAAAAGCAAACCCTGGAACCCCCTCCCAGACCCACTGAATCCGACACTTGGGGGATAGAGGTCAGCAATCTGACCCCCAGGTGATTCTGATGCACCCTCAAGTTGGAGAACCACTGTCATAGGGTTGTTGGGAACAGTAAATGAAGGAGCACATATAAAAAGCTCAGAACATTGCCTGGCACCTGTGTTATTTAGATATGAGAATCATCATTATCACGGCAGGAGCCTTTTCTAATCATGCTTTAATTACCGGGAGTACCAGGTACTCACAGGTGGAGATCCTTTCCTGTGGAACACTGCTCTCCCCATACCCTCCCCTCTCATGAATATGTATGCAAGTTCTATTAACAGCACAAATGTCTTGACCACTTCGCATAATGATACAGGTGTCAGGGGAAAGACTTTATGCAAGTAAAGACTTTATGCAAAGAAAAACTTTATTACTGGGGATGATTGCAATAGGGAGATGCTCAAAGCCTAAACCAGAAATATCTCAGGGCAGGAGTGGGTGAGCAATGCTTTTATATGCAGAGACCATGGAATAGGTGGTTGTGGACAGAGTAAGGAGGGAAGGGGAGGTAATAAAAACTGCTGCGTGGAAGTCCTGGAACCTAAAAAACTGTGTCAAACATTGCACTAGCAGGAGAGTCAGGGCAGGAGCTGTTGTCTATAATCAGGCACATGAGCAAAGAAGTTACAGAGCGGGAAGGTCATATAGAGGGCCTAGCTGTACTAGTGAAGCCAGCCTAAAGATATGTTAAACACAAGTTTGAAACACAGTCAAGAAGCTGGCTCTTACTTATACCATGTGCAGTAGGCTAAATAATGGTTCCCAAACATATCAGGTCTTAATTCTTAGAACCTGTAAATGTTACCCTATATTGTAAAGATTTTGTAAATATGATTAAGAATTGTGAGATGGAGATTACCCTGCATTATCTGGGTAGGCCTAAATGCCCAAGTGTTCTTGTAAGAGTGAGGTGCGGGGAAATTTGACACAGACTGAAGAGGAGAAGGCAATGTGACCACAGAGGCAGAGATGAGAGTGATGCAGCCACAAATCAAGGAGGCCCCAGAAGCTGGAAGAGGAGAGGAACAGGTTCTCTCCTAGAGCCTCTGGAGGGAGTACAGTCCTACCAACCCCTGGTTTTCGGCCCAAGTGATGCTGATTTTGGACTTCTGATCTCCATAACTGTGAGAGAATAAATTCTTGTTGTTTTAAGCCACTAAGTTTGTGAGAATTTGTTACAGCAGCCATAAGAAACTAATATGCCTTGTTTCATGAAAAGACTTTTTCAGATTTTAGGAAGAGATCCTCTTATAGTCTTAGGGGTGGGGAAAAAAATCCCTCAAGTTCAGCTCCTATGTTACCTACTGCACCAATATGCTTTGCCATAATCTCATTTAAATATATTGATCATGGCTGTGCTCATATGCTGTAAAATCAAGATTACCGTAGTTAATTTCAGATTTTAAAATGGAAAGGCTGAGCTTCAGAAAAGTTGCCAGGAAAGTTACATGTAGAATGTGTCTAAGTAAATGCACAAACTCACAAGGAGCGGTCAATGAGCACAAAGTAAGAGTTTAATTAATTCTTGTAGATTGATTTTCTAACTTAACAAATTGGCTGACTGTTTAACCCTATAGGAAAAGCAAGGTTACAGTAGCTTAGAAAAATAAATTATTTCTTAAGTGGAATCATAAACATACTCTTTTCTATAAAATTATAAATGGTAATAAACCACTTTACAAATGGACTGGACAATGTTTCTAAGAGTAATTCGTGGCTCACTGAAGTTAAACAAATTGGAGGGGGTTGTTATATTTGGGAGAGGTGTTAAGTGGCCTCAGGGTCTTGAATACCACAACACAAGATTTGTTCATTCCCCCTTGGTTTAAAACTTACAGAGATGGGGTAAAGAATTTATATCCTATTTCATTAGTGAGCAAAAGAAATCAAGACAAATGCACACAAAAATATACTTTTGCAGATACTGCATTTTAAATAGGAAGAGTTAAGTTCTACCAACGCATTTTGTCAAAGGCAGAGCTAAGGCTTGGTTACTTGGCTAAAATGTGACCATTTTAATAATTAACACTCATCTAAGTTACTTTGCAAAGAAATGGGAATAGAAGAAAAGGAACACAATGGTTAGTAATAACATCTCTGTAATGCTATTATTTAACAGATAATGTATAAGTAGATTTCATGAGTTGGAGCAATAATCCACTCTCTTGTTTAAATGGCTTTCTCCCGAATTTAGATATTCCTTGATTTAATTTTAGGGTTTGAGCATATTTGCTAAAAAAGGAGTCCATTTTTCCTTCCACTGTGTTTGTATAACATTCCAAGAAACAAAGGAGACACCACTCTTTGGAGCAACACCAGCCACACAGCCTCCAGTCACAGATGGTCATGAAGTAGCAGGTTTTTACACCCTCTGCAGTCTTAAAGGGCTGTGACCCAAGGGCAACTGTAAAACCCACATGTTAGAATAACTTAGATTTCTTGTGGTAGACTGAGTAAACAAACGGACAATGGCTAGACTTTATATGACAATAGAACACTGACCCCCAAAAGAAAATTCTGCAGCAACCACCTCAGAACAGTGAGGACTTCCTGAATGACTAACAACTCATTTTTGCTTCTACTTCCAGGACAAACCAGAGAAATCCAACTATTCTCCCCGAACCAATCACAAAGGATATTCCATTTCTAGTTATTCCTCTTCCAGCTTCCTCATGATAACAGCCTCTAATCAGGGTTTATGGAAACTTCTCTGTTTTCTCATTATAAAGCTTGTCCTCACCCAAACAAGAATTGTCTCCCTCCTCATAGCAAATTGCTCCCATGTAGGCAGTCTTCATTTATTTCCATGTGTGAATGATACTTGTGTTGACTGGATGACTACTTCTAAAAAAAGAAAAGAAAAGAAAAAAAAAAGCCTCCAGCCATATGCAATACAATGTACTTCTGTAACCACTTCTGGCCCTTAGTTGTGTTTGAGAGGAAAGGGATTCTACTTGAAAGGACGCAAAATAGAAATTTTTAAAAAATTGATTTTAAAAATATTTGTCTGTGCTTCTATGAAGGTTACCAATTTAATTTTAACTAAGAATTTACAAATCGACATGCACTGTGACTCCATTTTTGTTTTATATACATATATATATATATATATATATATATATAGAGAGAGAGAGAGAGAGAGAGAGAGAGATGCCTATAAAGGAGTTATGGGTGAGGGGACGGGGGTGTTTACTTTCTAAAATATATTTTCTACAATGAATGTGTTTCTTATATAATTTTTTAAAGTCACTTTTTAAAAAGTTTCTGAATTAATTTCCTTAAATCTTTAGTTCTGTACTTTTTCCTCCACTAAAACATTTCTTCGAACCATGTAAACCTAAACCCTGATATTAAATGTGATTAAACTACTCTTTTTAGAAGTACATTTCTTATATCTGAAGAAAAGCACTTTGGATATTGAGGAAGACTTAATGATCCATAATGCAGAGTGGGGAAACAAAAGCGGTTTCTGCTGTTTCTCACCCCCTCTTCTTTTAATTAAGACAAATTTTTCTGTAAATAACTCGTTTCTGTTGGTTTTGAGGAAAGCTTGCGAGGCGAGAAGAACCCCTGACCGGGTAAGACAGGAAAGGGGCATTACAAAATGCCATGCCTTCTCTGGAGACCCACCCAGCCCGTCCCCTTTCCCTCTTGGGATTTGGGTAGCGACCAGCGCGTCACGGACTTTGAGGAACTGCCATTCGCTCCGATTCTTCTCAAACTCAGCTGGTACCACCCTCAACCCGGGAGGTAACGCCTCTGCCTGAGGGCTCCGCATTCCTCCAGCCCGCCCCACCTTTGCTGTGGAATAAGCGGGAACCCCTAAACTAGACAATTCTCAGCCCTCCCGCAGACTTTCACCAAAAACTCCAGGACTAAAGGAGGCACAGGGTTACGCTGAAAATCCGCTTGGGCCTCCCTGTAGCTTCTGTTTCGTGAACCACCGGCCGAGCACAACCGAGGTAATTAGTTGATCCAGCTCCCCAGAGACGCCGGACTCCTCCTCAGTGCTGCCCAGGGGCCCCCAGCTCTTCGTCTTCGGTTCCACTGAGGCTAGCACTGCCTTCCCTGGGACAAGTTGGGACAGAGTCGCATCACGAGCGCAGAGTACTCACGCCCGGAGGCCCTGCCCACTGGACAGCTCAGCCAATCGTGGCGCAGGCAGGCGGTGGGGGCGGGGGCGGGAGGGCAGCAAACCAGGGCCTTAAAGGCAGAGTCAGGCACGACCCGGCCAGAACCTCCGGCCTCGGAGACCTGGGGAGAGGTACGTTCGTCCGTGGAGTGCGCCTGCGCAGCTGTGGCAGCTGCAGGTCAGCGACCTAGTCTGGGGCCGAGGCGGGTCAGGGACGGGGACTGGAGGGAGGGATATCCAGGGACTCGGGTGAGGGGGCAGGCGCGACCCCCAGGAACGACAGCGTCTGCCCGCCGGGAATTGATGAGGCTGGGTCGGCGCTCCCTCAAGCTTTGGCAGCCTTGAGGTGGGGAAGGGGGCAGGGCTATTTGGGAAACCCTGGGCAGAGCTGACGCCACCCGGGGGGCGGGGGAGGTCCTAGGCCGGTCAGCCTCTGGGAGGTGGCAGGCACAAGTTCGGGTCGGTCGCGGTAGTGTGACCCCCGAACTCCGGGCTAAGGGGCCCGTCGCTCCCTGCGCCGCCGTAAACAGCCTCTGGAAGCGACGGGAGTGTGCGAAGGGCTGGGAGCTGGGCAGCAAGTCCCTGGCCTGGCCCCGCCTACAGCGCGGGTGCGGGCTCAAACCAGACGGGTTCTTTGAGCCCCAAGAGTCTGGCCCTGACCGGGCACGAGAACTGGGGGCTCTGGGCGCCGTCGTGCCACGTGATCGCGTGCCCGGTCTGGAGGGCGAGGGAGGGGGTGTGGGCTACACAGGACAAGGGTAAGGACGGTAGAGCTCAGTGTGCACTCCTGCCCACCTTCTCCTGGGAAGGCTTTTTAGAAAGGTTTCAATTTAGGCAGCAGAGATTCGAAGTCATATCTCACCCCCTGCTGTTTATTAGCCAAGAAGAAAGGTGTGAGGTAGCCATCTAACTTTGAGATCCATGTCTGTCCCTACTTAGGATCAGGTGTCCTGATAAATAAAATTCTTGGGTCACCTCATACGTTCAGTAAATAACCTGGACCAACGGTTTCCTAGTTGTTGCCTTAAGATTCCGACACATAAGTTGTGGCAGAAATTCTTATCAAAACCTAAATTATCATTGCACTCATAGTGAAGTCTGTTTCAGTTCCTATAGCACTTGTCAGCCTGTTTTTCATTTTGATGGCTGAATCAAATACCTCCACTGTGTTAAGTCTTTGACCTGTTTCTCCACCCATATCTTTAGCCTTCTTTCACAGACTTTCCGTAAATATTTGAGAAGATCATTTAAATGTTCTTAGTCCACCATAGTGGCTATAACATCCAGGAGAAAGTAGGACGGCTTCTTTAAAGCACTGGCCTCATCAAATACTAATTCTTTTTCCTTCCTAGGTTTTTGAAACATGAATCCTTCACTCTTCCTGACTGCCCTTTGCTTGGGAATAGCCTCAGCTGCTCCAAAACTTGATCAAAAGTTAGATGTACCCTGGTATCAGTGGAAGGCAACACACGGGAGACTGTATGGCATGGTTGGTAACATCTGAAAATTTCCAGAGGGACCCCACAGACAATGGTCCATGCTGTTGGAGTTTATAGCCAGAGAGTAGTTTCTGGAGGAGTTGTTTTGGCTTTTTTCAAGGCAGTAACTTAATGGCACCTATTTCTGAGCACAGCATGGGCATATTTTCCTGTGTCAGAGTTTGGAGAACAGCTCTCAGAAGTATAAAGCCATCCGTGACAACAGTTTTTCTTTTTCTCTGTCTGCAAATCCATTTGGTGAACATGGGTTGGGTTTTAAATAGAAGTAAAAATGACCAGTTATATGTTTGCCTGTAGGATGAAGGATGGAGGAGGGCAGTGTGGGAGAAGAATATGAAAATGATTGACCTGCACAATCAGGAATACAGCCAAGGGAAACATGGCTTCACCATGGCAATGAATGCCTTTGGTGACATGGTGAGTGTGCCATGAGTTGCTGAACTTTTTGTGCCTCCTCTTCTCAGTATTTTAGCAAAATAACTTCTTCAACATTTTATTTACTTTTCCTTAAAGACCAGTGAAGAATTTAAGCAGGTGATGAATGGCTTTCAAAACCAGAAGCACAAGAAGGGGAAAGTGTTCCATGAACCTTTCTTTCTTGAAGTCCCCAAATCTGTGGATTGGACTAAGAAAGGCTATGTAACTCCTGTGAAGAATCAGGTATGACAGAATTCAGATTCAGATTTTCTTAAGAATGTTTAGGTATATGGGCTGTTGTTGGTCTTTGTCTTGTAAACTGATGGCTTTTTTATTTAAAGGGTCAGTGTGGTTCTTGTTGGGCTTTTAGTGCCACTGGCGCCCTTGAAGGACAGATGTTCTGGAAAACTGGCAAACTTGTCTCACTGAGTGAGCAGAACCTGGTGGACTGCTCTCGGCCTCAAGGCAATGAGGGTTGCAGTGGTGGCTTAATGGATAATGCCTTCCAGTATGTTAAGGACAATGGAGGCCTGGACTCAGAGGAATCCTATCCATATCTTGGAAAGGTAAAAGGAACTCCTTATCTTGTCATTACAGCTCTGCTTTTGAACACTTTCAGAGATAACAGACATCTTATTCAGCATTCACATTTTAGATGTAAACTGTCAGAACTGTCATTATAAATTATCAGCTGTTGCACAGGTCTCTGATTAGATGGTTAACATAGCTTGTCTTACTTCTATGTAACATGGAGAATATGTATACCATTCTGCATATAATGCATATTTCTCCATAGTGAAAAATTTCTTATAGCCAGGTAGACCTAAGTGGTCTTACTGAAGAAATATCTACTAATTTTTCAATTTCAAACCAATCAATAGCATTTTGCTGGGCTGCTTTATAACAAAATTGACTTAGAAATTATTAAGCTGCAAACTGCTGAGTCTTATGGTCCTAAAATTCATGTTCTTCATAAGGTGGATGGTAGTAATCAAGTCTCTTTCCCCTTTATCTTTAAAAGGAAACAAATAGCTGTAAGTATAAGCCCGAGTGTTCTGCTGTCAATGACACTGGCTTCGTGGACATCCCTCAGCGGGAGAAGGCCCTTATGAAGGCAGTGGCAACTGTGGGGCCCATCTCTGTTGCTATTGATGCAGGCCATACATCCTTCCAGTTCTATAAATCAGGTTGGTGTTTTTCTTTTATTATAGAAATTCAGGCAGGGAAAAGTGGAAAACACGACCATGATTGACTCTGGTATGGAGTCCTGTTTTCTAGGACTGTAGAATTTTGAGTGTATGCATTTAATAACAATGATGTTTCCATTTGACATTATACTTTATTTTCTCATGATGACAAACTTCATAAATATTTTTAAATGGCTATGTAACTATTCTTCAATTGTTGGTCCCTTTTTCCAAAAGTTTTTTACTATTGTAGTTATATCTGTAAAGAACCCTGTGGTTCAAGTTTTTTTGTTTTTTTGTTTTTTTGCGGTACGCAGGCCTCTCACTGCTGTGGCCTCTCCCGTTGCGGAGCACAGGCTCCGGACGCGCAGGCTCAGCGGCCATGGCTCACAGGCCCAGCCGCTCTGCGACATGTGGGATCTTCCCGGACCGGGCCAGGAACCCGTGTCCCCTGCATCGGCAGGCAGACTCTCAACCACTGCGCCACTAGGGAAGCCCAAGTATTTTTTTGTTTTGTGCTGTTTTCTTAGTTGGCATTCAAGGAGTAGAGAGGATTATGCTAATTAATATTAGTAGTTAGTAGTTGAATGCCTAAATCACCTTAACCTTGATAACTAGGTCTTATTATTGGAAATATTTTTTAGGTAGAAAATATATCTAAGATTTTGTTGAATTTTGTTGATTTCTAGTGAGTTAAATTTTTCTTTTTCCTTTTCATCAGCTGTTACTATTTTTGGTCAAATATTTAAGTCTTATTTGGAATTTGTTTATGACATTTCACTGAATTTTGAGCTATTTCTCTTAATTGGTTGATAGCTTGGGTTACTGTCATGTGTCACTTGGAACTCCTCACCCTAACATTGAATTTTACTCTCCCAGGTATTTATTATGATTCAGACTGCAGCAGCAAAGACCTGGATCATGGTGTTTTGGTGGTTGGCTATGGCTTTGAAGGAACAGATTCAAATAACAATAAATTTTGGATTGTCAAGAACAGGTATAAAACTCCAAATGTTGTATTTATATTTTAAATTGAAAAGGGAATCCTTATTTGGAAGCAGTATTTGATTCCAGGTCCAAAAAAGCTCAATTTTGAAATCCCAGAAGTCTTTCTCCCACTTAAACACAGAAATACTGATATGTGATTATAAGATTCTGTAGCAAGTTTGTTGGGGTTATTATTATGTATTTGTAATATTGCATTTCTAAATTCTGAAAATTTTCTTAATTCAGAAACACATCCAGCCCCAGGGGTTTCATATAAAGGATTTTGCACCTGTAGAGTTGAGGGCTGGTTTCCTTTTTCTGTCTCTAATTTTTGAACAAGGAGTAGTGGGCAGAAACATCTGCCTCTGCTCATTCTTTAAGTCTGAAAGATTGTCCAAGAGTCCAGTGGCCTCTGTGCATCCTTTCTGATATCATTTGATATCCTGTCATTGCATTCTACTCCCAGCTCTCAGAGGTCTTTGAGGGTTGTGAGGATCAATTTTCACAGCTAAAGTTCTTTAACTGAGATGAGCCTGAGGAGACAGACTGCTACATTGGAATGCCAGTTCTGCCTCAGTTTCCTATCTTAAAAAGTTAAGGACCCACAGGAGTTAATATACTTATAAATATATGTAACAGAACTTAGAATAGTACCTGATACATGCTATGCACTATTTTAATTATTAGTTATTATTATTAATGAAGGTAATGTGTACTTGATGCTTTGTATAAAATGGAAAACATGTTCTTCTTTCAGTTGGGGTCCAGAATGGGGCTGGAATGGCTACATAAAAATGGCCAAAGACAAGAACAACCACTGTGGAATTGCCACAGCAGCCAGCTATCCCATTGTGTGAGCTGATTGATGGTGATAATAGAGGACTTGAGGACAGCATACCTGGAGGAATTTTATCTTAAAACTGACCAAACCCTTATTGTATAAGATAAGATACTGAACCATTGAAGATCCAAGTTGTGATTTGAATTCTGTGACATTTTTATAAGGGTTAGATGTTACCACTTTTCCCCTTTTTTTTTTTTTTTTTTTTTTTTTTTTTTTGCTGTACACGGGCCTCTCACTGTTGTGGCCTCTCCCGTTGCGGAGCACAGGCTCCGGATGCGCAGGCTTAGCGGCCATGGCTCACAGGCCCAGAGGCTCCGTGGCATGTGGGATCTTCCCAGACTGGGGCACGAACCCGTGTCCCCTGCATCGGCAGGGGGACTCTCAACCACTGCGTCACCAGGGAAGCCCCAACCACTACTTTAATTACTGTTATAAATAGCTTTATAATGTTGAAGACTCATTGCTTAACTCTAAGACTTTTGAATTTTCATTTTTTAAAAGGATACATAAAACTTTACCTTTTACAATAAATTTTAATTCAACACGTAAAGGTGGAACTTTTTCTTTTTAATGCATTAACTTGTAGTAGTTGGGGTATATAATTGGGCTATAAAGACATAACTGAATGTGCAAATGGTTTATTAGGAGAAAGACACTGGGTGGCTCTGCAGATATTCTAGGTTATAAATATGCAGATTTTATGTCAACCATGTTACCTAGTGTTCCCAAAAGTAAATTTAATGGTTGTGATTAACAAATTTCAGGTGCTTGTTAGTAACTGGAGAAATCTGTTCAAGATCCATAAGAAATGAGGCTGGCCTAGAAAAATAGTCCTCTGGCCTCAGAAGATTGACGAGAGATCACTAGGTCAAACTTGGGCTTAGCTACCTAATCTCAGAATTTAAAAACTCAGAAAGGAACAAAACAGCCCAAGCATATGGTTACACAGATAGTAAATACAAATAAAACAGTATTTTTGTGTATTTAAAAGATGGGAAGGAAATATGCCAAACTTCTGGGTGAATTAGGGACGATTATTTTCTTTAACCTGTTCTGCAGAAACCATGTATTTTTATTAGAAAAAAAAATAGTAAAAATATACCTACATTCTGCAAGCTGAAGAAGCACGTGTATGTTTTTAAAAATCTCGTGTTCCCAATCAAGGAAATACAAGGAATAAACTGCAGAAATATTTAATCCAGCCATAATCCATTGTGAAGGGAATGAGTGATGGAGCACAACTGGAACTTTATATCCCACAAAACCTTCACTAGCCTTTGTCCACAGCCATTTTTGGAAAATACAGTCTACCACATGCAGTCAGGGATTCCTTCATCTTACATTACAGCAGCAGGCTAACTCAGAGTGCTGTGTACAGCATCCTGGAACAACTAAAGACTAAGGAAACATCTAGGTGCTAAATTGAATGAAGGTATGGTGGCTTTTTATTTAATAAAAGTTTCAAGTCTGTCAAATCAGAAGACCCCCTGCAGATGTCTAAATTATATTTTAGTATATTTGGTGTTTCTATAATTTTCAAATATATTAAGCTTGCAAAAAGTTCCAAACCGCATCTATCATCTAACAGGATTTTTCAAAGGAGCCAAGTCAAGGAGACTTGAAATAAATAGAACTGGAAACAAATTTAATCATCACAAAAATCTGAAGTACAAACTTAACTACCAGTATTACTTATAGTCCAGATATCTAAATAGTTCCTTATTATAGTTAAATTGCAAAGGAAATAAGGAAAGGTGAGAGAGAATTCAGCAAATGTGAGGAAGGAACTGGCTTACATGGGTATGTAGCTCTAAAACTTGGGCACCTTCTTAGGGGAGGGAAAGGGCTCTGTAATAAGGAAATCTCCATTCATAGCACGTATTTCAATCAGTATCTCCAAGGTATGTTTACAAAATCTTAAAAGCAATTATAGCCTGCATATTTCTGTTAATGGTTGGTGATTGATGAAAGTTAGAGTAGTAAGACCACATTAGGTGTTTTGCCTGTAAAACTTTAATTTGGCCATGTTTCCTAATCTCAGTTACCTTTTAACTGATATAAAAGTCTGAAAAGCAGGGCTTCCCTGGTGGCGCAGTGGTTGAGAGTCCGCCTGCCAATGCAAGGGACATGGGTTCATGCCTCGGTCCGGTAAGATCTCACATGCCGTGGAGCGGCTGGGCCCGTGAGCCTGTGCGTCCGGAGCCTGTGCTCCGCAACGGGAGAAGTCTGAAAAGAAAAAAAAAAACTTCTGGGATTTTAAAAAGCAAATATTAGTGGTATCCCATCACTTCACTTTAAGCATGGAATTTCACAAATGTCCATGATCATCTCTATTTTTTTTTTTTTTTTTTTGCGGTACGCGGGCCTCTCACTGTTGTGGCCTCTCCCGTTGCGGAGCACTGGCTCCGGATGCGCAGGCTCAGCGGCCATGGCTCACGGGCCCAGCCGCTCCGCGGCATGTGGGATCTTCCCAGACTGGGGCACGAACCCGTGTCCCCTGCATCGGCAGGAGGACTCTCAACCACTGCGCCACCAGGGAAGCCCGATCATCTCTATTTTTAAATAAGTTAGTAAGAAACTATTACCAAGAGCTGCTCCATGGTCTCGTTCCTTAGTACTACTTTTTAAAACTTTTCTAGTTCATATATTTACTCGTTCAAGTATTCGTCACTTTTATGTGACAGCACTGTATGGGCTCTAGGGACACGAGTAAAGCAAATAGTCACAGTTCCTCCCTTATGGAGCTCACATTCTCATGTTGCTGAGACAATGCATAACCTCCATCCCTGCCACAATGGCCACTTTGTTCATGAGCCCATTGGCAATGACAGGAGTGGCTGGGAAAAGAATCTGACTGGTATTCACAGAACAGGTTGTCCTATTCACTTGATTTACTGAGGTTACGCTTAGGTGAGCATTCACATGGGACACAAATATACTCATGCTTTTTGCCCATTCAGAGAGCTCTATCCACATACCTCTTCTCCAGACCTCTTTGTCAGCAATTTTCCAATTATGTTCCTTTCAAGTCTCAGACCATCCAGCCAAACCATGGCCACAGCCCATGAATCAGTATATAATCACATATCTGGCCAGTTTTCCTTCCAAGCAAAATGAACAACCAAGTGCTCAACGTTCTGCTCACAGGGAGAATTATCCTTCACCCGTGTTCTTCAGGGGTGTCCCAGAAAGGGACTTTAGTGCTGCAGCTGTCCACTTCACTTGGTGCCTGTATATCATGCAAAACCATCTGTGAATCAGGCCCAAGTTTTTTCTTCCTCAGGCAACTCATTGTAGAGAACTCCATGTGAGGCCGTAGGTGCAGGCTGGGAGAGAGAAGGCAGAAGTAGGGGCTACAGGCATTTGGGCAACTCCTTAATGTAACTTACTTTTGCCTTTAGGGCCTGCTCAGACCGTCTCATATATACCACTTCCACTTGATGATGGAGTGCTGTTTTTTGGCTTGATGGGTCAGGTAATACCCAGTTCATGATGAGCAGCTCATGAACTTGGTAGCCCATGGTTAAGCATTCATTCTCTACTAAGACCCAGTAGCAAGCTAAAAACTGTTTCTCAAAAGAACAGTAGTTATCCACAGAGGATACCGTAACTTCGCTCCAAAAGCCTAAGGGTCTGCATTATGATTTGCCTACTGGAGTCTGTCAATGGCTCCAAACAGCATCTCTCTTTGCCACTGACACTTAAAACACCATTAGATATATTGGATCATCTGGCCCAAGTGGAAGAACAGCTTGCATGGCAACCTGGACTTGCTAGAGAGCCTTCTCTTGTTCTGAGCCCCACTCAAAACTAAGCTTTTTGGGTTGCTCAATCAGTGGACCAAAGTAGCATGCCCAAATGAGAAATATGTTGCCTCTTAAATCCAAAGAGGCCCACTAAGCATTGTGCCTCTTTTTTGGTTATAGGAGAGGCGAGATGCAACAACTCACCCTTTGTCTTAGAAGGGATATCTTGACAAGCTCAACTGAACACCTAGAAATTTTACTGAGATGGGAAGCCCCTGAATTTTTGTAGTTTATTTTCCACCCTCTGACATGCAAGTGTCTTACTAATAAGACCAATAAGTCTAGGATAGTTGCTACTTCTTGCTCACTAGTTCCATTTAGCATAATGTCACCAATGTAATGGATCAGTGTGATGTCTTGTGGAAGGAAAAGACAATCATGATCCATGCAGTCTAAATTATGACATAGGGCTAGAGAGTTGATATACATGCAAAAGGCAAAACAATGAAAATGTATTCTTGACCTTGCCAGCTGAAAACAAACTGCTTCTAGTGATCTTTACTAATAGGTATGGAGAAAAAGCATTTGCCAGATCAATATACTGCATACCAGGAACTAGGGGATGTGTTAATTTGCTCAAACTATTTCACCACATCTGGAACAGCATCTACAATTGGAGTTACCACCTGGTCATGTTTATGACAATTTATTGTCATTCCCCAAGATCCATCTGTTTTCTTCGTAGGCCAAATAGGCAAGTGGAATGGGAATGTGGTGAAAATCACAATCCCTGCATCCTTCAGGTTCTTGATAGTGGTACTAATTGCTGCAATCTTCAAGGAACGAGTCATTACTTTTGGTTTATTATTTTGCTTGACAGAGGCAGTTCTAGTGGCTTCCACTTGGCCTTTCCTACCATGATAGCCCTCACTCCACATGTAACGAACCACTGTGGAGATTCTGCCAGTTGCTGAGTATGTCTATTCCAATTATCTATTCTGGAACTGAGGAAATAACTACACTGGAACCACTGTGAGATAGACCAGAGCAAAAACTCCATTGATCATTTGACCTTTACAAGCCCCTACTCTAACTTGCAGACCACAGTGACATTTTTGGGTCTCCTGGAATTAGTGTCAGTTCAGATCCAGTATCTAGTAGTCCCCAAAATATCTGATTATCTCCTTTTCTCCAATGTACAGTCACCTGGTAAAGAGCTATTGATCCCTTTGGGGAAGGCTGGGAGAAAGATTAACAGTATAAATTTTTGGCAGTGTAGTGGGGTCCCAGTATTCCCTTCATTT